CTTGATTCATTAGGCTTTCTCTAAGATAAACTGGTACAGGGTCTCTACTCCCAAATCTAACCCAGTAGTCTTTCTAGAATACTGTTACAATTCTCATTAATCCTGAATCAGCATTAGCGAATTTAGAGGCACCAACTTGTAAAGGCCAATCCCTCTGAAGTTAATATAGGATGAACTGAGATACTCTGCTGTAGCGTTAATTCCTGATGCTGAAACTAATTGGGCTTTAAAAGCAGAATTTGAACAGAGTTCATCTGAAGAAGTGTGAGTAGAGGCACGCCTGGCTGGCTGAACATTTGTCTCTGCACAGGTCTCTCTGAACACAGAAAACGCGCTAGTAAAATCAAACTTAAGCCCTTTTTAAGTCCAGATAATGAAAAAATGGGTAATTTCGATCGCGGACTTGATTTGCTAGTAGGGTTGTTCGAATTTTATGCAGGGTATGGTAAAATTATTATCAGCATTGGTACACTTGTTCAGATCAGCATGAGTAAATCCGATGACGTGCCCTTCCCCCAATTCTTCCCCTTGGTGTTTTTGATGCATGCCAGCCATTTTGTTCATCTGGTTCTTTTGGCAGCAATTAGAAAAAACAACTAGACAGAGGTTTGATATCTTCCAAATCGCCTATTTTTTCCAGGCTGCGAACAAAAGGCAAAGCCTCTTCCATTCGGCTTCAGGAATTCACCTTTTTAGAAGAATTGAGTCAGGGACAAAAAGGAGACTTGGCGAATGGACATTCCATGAATTGGAAATAGAGAAGGCAAGCAATGAAGGTATTTTATTTTAGACAAGGGAATGGGGCTGGGTTTTGATTTGATTTGGAAGCAACCTAAATTGAAATAAACAATAAATCTCACATATACAGAGGCTGTCTCTCCCCCCCCATTAAAATTGTGTGGATAGGTAAGTGATGTTGTATAAACGCATCTTCTTTAATGTATATAATGTTATCCACCTGGGTACATTTCTTGTTCACCTGGTTCAGAACGGTATTAATCACATGAAGGTCCACGAAAGGTAATTCATACAAGTTTATTGTAAAAAAGAGAGAGAGAGAAGAATACACATAACAGAGCTTATTGAACATGCAACTTACTAATTTTCACTATTTATTTTTAAGTTCAAAGTATGGCAGGGGCAAGCTTGGCTATTTAATTTCCATGTTTTGTAAAATTAATCGCTGCAAATCAAGTTTGTCCTAATTTTTGTCCTATATTCAGATCTACAAAATAGAAAATTCAGTTTTTGGAGGGAATTTTTAATGATTTATTTAATCCGTCAAAATTGATAGGAAACATAAAAGGAGACATACGTGTAGAGTAGACTAACTTCATTAATGTGTTAGGAACACAATAAGTAAAAGGAGTAAAAGAAAGAGAATGGGGAGGAGGGAAGGAAACACTGCTGACTGTGCTAAACCTTCACAACCGGAAGGTGGCGCTCATGACTTAATATTGAAAGCAAGCATCATTTCCTTAACAAACCTTTAAAAACCACACCCATCAACACTGGCAGGACAAGCTATGTAAACAGGGAGCCAACCTCAAGCTCACTAGCACTGATGATGTTACCTAGTTGGGTAATGAAAAGTCTGAAAGCAAACAAGATCAGAGAGCACCAAGGACTCCACAGCTACATATACTACATTTTCCTCTATGGGGAACCTCTTAAACTTATTTGGCTTTTAAGAACCTCTACTTCCCAGAGCAAGAGACCTGAGTCAAAAGTTAAAATGACCTATCTGCTGGGAGTAAACCAAGTCCTGACTTCTAGAGTCAAAATTAAATCATGATTTAAAGTAGATGGAAAATGGTTCTCCCCTTGCCTTGCTACTGGACATAGCAAATATTGGTTGCAAAAGCATCTCTAAAGTAAGCTCTCGCCCTCCAATCTTTCTGCTTGCATTCTCAGGCTGACATTTTTATTATATGGGGTACAAGAGAAAGAGAGGAAATGTGCTCACAGATGAGGGCCTTTCCAGAAGACTCAGAACTAGAGATCATCCCAAAGTGAGGCGGAGGAGGATATCCAGTATTCTCCATGTCCAAAATATACTGGTTCCTCCTTTTTGCTCCTGCATCCCTCTTTTTAGACAGATTTAGTTAGGGTCAAGCCTCGAAACATGTGTATTAGCTGATCTCCGGCAAGCCTGGGGAGAAATATCTAGGTCTTTGGGTCGGAGGATCAACAGGCATATCATCATGCTCAATAAAATAAAGATTACGAATTCCCCGAGTTTAGAAGTACATATTGAGGAGTATGCAGGGCCAGTTTGGCGTAGTGGTTAAGGCATCAAGAGACGGTGAGTTTGGATCCTGCCTTAGGCACAAAGTTAGGTGGATGACCTTGGATCAGTCACTTTCTGCCCTAGGAAGGAGGCAATAGCAAACCACTTCTATATTAAAAAAAAAAAAAAAACTTGCCAAGAAAAGTTGGGGACTTGTCCAAGCAGTCTCCGAGACGACACCATTCAACTGAAGAAAAAAAATATTGACGAAAAAATCCTGGCTTCCCTTGGTAGTTTGCCCATTCCTTTGTTTTCAGCTTCAAGTGTAATTCTTCCTACCATATGGTTAAAAGCTATAAGCATAACGGCGGAGTTTCCCCTCGTCCCCTCCCTCACCTACCAAGTAAGTACGCACAGCAGATGCTACCGACTGTAAAATCCGAATCACTTGACAGGCGAAGTCATTTTAAAACGTCTAAGTGTCTCCTGGAGGCTTACGGAGCATCTCTGAGAGAGGGCATGGCGCGAGAGAGCTATCCTTGAACTTGGCCCCGGAGCCTTTTCTATTGGCGATCGTCAACCTCTCGTTGAGTTTTATGCATTTAATTCTGCGAGACAGCAACCCCGGAGAGGGTGCGAAATAAGCCTGCTAGTTGAAGGGTATGGTTATCAATTCAGAGAGAAATAAATCGAAGCCCTAAAATGAAACCGGGACCTTTGTTTGAGGTTTATGATCGACGCGCTGAGTGGGAGAAGAGGCGGTCATTTGCCACCGGCAAATCTTTTAATCTCTTACAGATTAAAAGGTCGAAGTTGGACCCCCCAACGAGGAGCGACCACGTGGTCTGGGAAGTTGCTTATGAACCAACCAGCCATTTCCATTCTGTTCTTTGAGGTTTCTAAAGTTTCTTCGGAGAAAGAAAAGTCTAAAGAATAAAAGGCGGGAAGTTTCAAAAAAAAGTTACCACGGTCTTATATTTGTTTTCTCATGCATTTTATATCACATATTCATTCGTTTTTACGTGATCATATTGTGTCAAATAATAAATACAGTGCTGCTTATGCAATGTCTGTATTATTTTGGATAATGTACTATGCAATATAAAAATATATAAATAGGCGATATACTTGCACATCTTCGCATTAGACTCTTCGCTGAAGCAACGTGCGGTCAGATATGTAGGGTGTCCTTTCCTATAGAATCATAATCAGTGTAAGCGCCAGAGACGTTTCTAAACACTTCTGCAAAATTAGAATTTTAGGAAAGATTTTCGTCGGTTTAGGGAGACTTTGAGGGCAGCACCTCACTCCCCTTCTCAGGCTCCTCCCACAGAGTTTGGCTTGCTTGGGCGGGCGGCTGGTGGATTCCAGTGGAAGTGCAGGGATCCGAAGGCTAACCAAGCCTCATGCTACACTTGGCATGGCAATTTCAAAATCTCAGCCTCCAGATCCAATATAAACAATAGATATTCGAAACGTAAATCTCTTTCGTTGTATTGACCGGAAAAAATCAGTTGCTCTGAATGGCCACTTCTTGGCGAACGATTTACAGCATCTTCCAGCGTCAGACAGCCGTTGTTGCGGCAATAAAAAGCCTGCCTATTGCCAAGGCAACTTGGAGACTCCATGTGGTCACCAGGAGACCACTCAATTGGAAGTTTTAGCGATGACATCATCGCTATTCTGTGGGCTCCGCGACCCTTTGAATGACGCCATAAATCCCCGTAAATCTCCACTAAGATGATGGGACCTGCTCCTAAATCGCCGAATGCTCTTCTCCCCCGATTTCTGAAGGCGCGTGGATTGCAAGGATCTCCTTTCCAGCTGTCTGAAGATCTGAGCAGACTTTCAAGGCAATAGAAAGCGGGAAGCGTAAAAGTTGCACGATGCGGAACCCACGACTTGCAAAAAAGCGCGTAGGCGTGTTTCTATGTCCCCTTTTTAAATATATAGACAAAAATGTTATGATTCCAGAATGACCAGGGCAAGATCTGAGCCCGGAACTATAGCAACAAAATTTACTTTGATGGATACCTCTAAGAGGGGATTAAAAATAATATGAAACATTAAAGATGGCTTTTCCTTCGGTATGCAGTAACTTGTGTTTATTACATTGCAAATTCCCTCACGGCTTTTTTCAGTGTCTTCAAAGGCACTTTTAATTAGTTTTTGGTAGTATGCAAATACTGTATGAATCATCATCAACAAGAACAAAAGCTTCAGGCGGTAGTCAGCCCTCATATGCGGCACGAAGTCTTAAAATAAAATATATAATGGTAATTTTATAGTATAGGCAATTATCTGACCCCCTCCGTAAAACAGATTATGTAAGTATGGATGACCATAGGTGAGTACACACACAGTATATATATATAGGTATATAGCATAATATTGTAGTGTGTGTGTGTATAGGGGTGTGTATATACATACACACCCGCATACATACACTACAATATTACACAGATTATTCACCTCTGTTTTATATCTTCATTCAGCTAAGAGACGAATGGATCCCACAGCAAACGAGCCATCGAGGTCACTTAAAATTTATTTTACATTCGGGTCGATTTTCTTTTTTCTTGGGTGCCTTTTCGCTACTTCCCCACCCCCACCCTTAAAGCAGCTCTGAATTACTGAATTTCAGACAAAGAAAGCAAGGTCGCAGAATAAAAGCCCTAAGGCACCTTCTTTTTCAAGGAAAAGAAAGGAAAAATAATTGCACACGGTGTCGTCTTCTCCTCTTCTTCTTCCTCCTCCCGCTCTGATAAAATTTTGTTTTGTTTTTTAAATTATCGGCTGTTCCCGCAGTGATTTAATTTAATTAATTTTTCGTGGGGAAACAAAGCAGCAATAGCAACCATAATAATTAAAAATATATTATTAAGAACAAATTTAAAAGGTGACGAGAGATCAGCGGAGGCCCTAGATAGGGCCGCCGGCTCTTAGCAGAAGGCCTCGGAGGGTGGGGGCCTTTGGAGGCCTCACGTGGGCGACCCCGCGGGAGTTCTTACTCCCCCCTTGTTTTTTCTTTGCCTCTTCCCTCCAGGCCACCTTCCTTCCTCCGCGCGTGTCTCAAGAGGCGTCGTCACCGCCTCCACTACTGCCGCTGGCGGTGGCGCTTTTGACTTTGGCCACCACTTTCTTCTCCTTCACCCTCCGGTTCTGAAACCAGATGGTGATCTGTCTCTCGGTAAGGTTAGTGGCGGCGGAAATCTTCCTCCTCTTGTCCTTGGTGATGAACTTGCTGTTGGAATATTCCTTCTCCAGCTCTTTCAGCTGCCCTTTGCTGTACGGGATTCGCTTCTTGCGGCCGCGTCGGAAGGTACAGCCTTCGGGTGGCGATTGACTTACAGTGTCTGTCCGGAGGGAAGAAAGAGAGAAGCGGGTTAAAGCAGCCGCGAGTGGAGGGGCAAGCAGGCAGATTGGCAGGCGCACATGTTCAGTAAAGCCTCCCCTACCTCCTTCGAGCCCTTTGTTGGCCGCTTCTCCGGGACCCCGGACAGGGCAGCGGTGGGTCGGAATACCTCCCTTTCCCCCCCCCCCCCCCTCCTCGCTAGTTTGTGTTCCCCCCCCCAGTTTATCTCCCTCCCCTAATCATTTTTTCTTATTTTCACATTCCATCCTCCAAGACCGAGGTGGAGAGAGTCTGGAATCCTGCTCCTTTTATATTAAATTTTCGTCAAAACATCTGCGCAAAATGCAGCAAGGCCCATAGCTGCAAGAAGGCCTCAGCATTGGGGGAAACGGGTATTTCGGCCTTTGCTTAGGAGGAATTTCTCTGGCTTCCCCCCGCCCCTCCCCATCCAAGTAATCAGTGTTATTTTCGATTATCCCACCCCCAAATTTTTCCAACTTTCTCTGTCCCGAGGCAAAGTAGCTCAATGCATAGTAGTCCACGCATAGGGGTTAATTTATTCTGATAATAATGAAAGAGAACAAAATCACAAAGGAGTCCCAATTAGGTAGTATATTTGTTGGGGGCTCAAACCTTTGCAAGCGAATTGATTTGAAGCTAAGATCTGTTGTGAAGCCTTAGAGATCTGTTTCTCTAAGACCTTACTCCCAGGTAAAACTTTTAAAGCAGGATAAACCTTTAGGCTATTACTCAAGGTCACAGGCCTGTGTTTTAGCGATGCTATTGTATTCCCAGGGCTTTGGAGTTGTTAATTCATACAAATCTGCAGATACAAGTGATGGGGGCTGTGCCTTATTAACAAATATTATTATTATTATTATTAGCAAATATTAATAATAGACTCTTTTCTTCCACCGAATTACTGAATTTAAACAAAGCTACTCGAGCTGTGGTAATTGCTGCTCAATAAATTCAATACTTGCCCCTTGGTTCTTTGGAGAAAGAGTATATTGTAGCTAAGAATGCTATTAAAACTGCTTCTCTTACTGAAATTCGAGGAAAAGAACCAAACATAAGAACAACACAGATCTTGGACCCAGACAGATCATAGTGCTGTCACAAGGCAAATTCCATATCCAGGAATGTACAATTTTGCAGCGAACTAAATTAATATATAAATGTATATTTACATTTACATTATATAAATGTATATTTGGGAGAATCTTTTGATATTAAATATTGCAAAGCAAAACAATCCATATTAATGTTGCAAGATAGTCCGCACCAGCTTACCCTTGTAAACTACCCAGACTGCATTTTTTAATCAAGTACAAGAAAGAAAATAAACCTAAAATAAGAATTGTTTCTGTCACTCCTAGCTATGCACTCCTTTTAAAAAGCACAACTGATGTGCAAAATCTAAATGTCTATGTGCTTAGGCAATGAGAAAACATTTTACTCAAAATTATTTCTGTTGATTTCAACAAATAAATATTATTTCAGAATGTCTACTTTCAGTGTTCATATTTTCATGGTTTATGCATGAAACAAATCAATACAGATCTGGACATTAATGTGAAATGATTCACTCTAGGAATTTAGTTGTCACTTATATAAGTTAAAATAAAATGTATTATTGCCAGTGTATACAATTTAAATCAGTGACTGGATATTCTAATCTACAACACATGAACATGATATATGGTATTTTTTGTAAAAAGCATGAGTTCACATAATGAATTAATTAAGTTAAATATCATTACTCATGCTTCTTACAATTAAAAATCAGAACTAATTAATTTTCTAAATTTCAGTGTTTATCCTCTAAGCATGGTAACTCATTAGATTTTAAATTGCTTTAAATTGCATACAAATATTGGAAAATGCTTGACTAAAGCCTATAATATGGAAGATTTGTTTGTATTCAAGGATTGCTTTTTTCTAATACATTTTTTTTCTTTTTACTCTCTGGAGTAACACTCTTTCTTGCAAGTATATAGAGAGCTGGCAAGTATACTGCACAGCAGTATGTGTACTGCTGAAATATTAATGCAGGATATAGATGCTTCTTGTAAGCTACATGTGGTGTGATGTATTAACAAAAAGCAACACACATTTCTGCAGTATGAATTGTTGTGCATTACAGAATGTGAATAGCTTTTAATTTATTTAAAATTATGCAACTGTAAGTAACAATAATGAGAGCCAGTTTTATGTAGTGGTTAAAGCACTAGGCTAGGAATTGGGAGATTTTAGGTCATAAAACCAACTCGGTGACTTGGGCCAATCACACACTCTCAGTCCTAAGAAGGAGGCAATGGCAAACCACTTCCAAAATCTTGCCAGGAAAACTTCAGGAACCTGTTCAGACAATCACCAGGAGTTCACCAGGACTTGAAGTCATACACACACAGACATCCCTCAACAAGTAACAAGAACTGTATCAATATGTTTTAATAACTCAGTCGAGGGAGGGGAACTCAGTCATGTTTTCAAAGTAAGACTGTGGCAGAAGCCAGAATTGATGTACGGGAGAGAAATGGGTTTTCAAATCACCTACAATCAATCAGAAGACAGTCATAACAGAGTCAATCAGTTTACTACATTTGCAAATAAATAAAATAACACACTTACCGTTTAAGAAGGTTCTTCACTCTTCAGAAAATGAATAAGTTGAGTCTAAAATTACCTCATTCTACCACTGGGACCACAGCCATTAATAGAGAGAATGTTCTGCAAATGCTCCATTTAACTAATCCCATTCCTTTCTGATGGATTTTTTTTAATGTGCACAGCCCATTATTATGCCCTTTATTTTTTCTGAAATAATAGATATAGTAAGTAATTTGAAATACTGAATCAAAGTAAGATATCGCAAAGAATGGCCAATTTTAAAATAAAAACTTTCAAGAAATGTGATTTTGTGATCTCTGGAAAGGTGAACCACTAAGGTGTAAGCTATTGGATATATATATTTGTAAAACATTATATTGTGACTTACAACTTTGATACATACTAAACTTTTGTTACCTTGTGAAATGTGTATAATTTTTACAACGTAGTATTTTTATATGTTATCATATTCATCTTGAATTGTACTGGATAAGCTTAATAAAGTTGTACTTATATAAGTAATAAAAGTGAGAGAATTCAATATGAAATGATGATATCAGCACAAAGTGTATTTTTAAATATTGCCTGGGTAATATACTGGAATTCTTATTGCTACTAAAATGAAATTAATATTATGGGTTAGAACAGATACCTATTAATGAAATACTGTTTCAAGGAATTGTCAATCTTAATTTAAATGTTGAGAAAGAATTTTCAACACTGAGCTCAATAGAAACAGGCAAATTTCTTTCCTGATACTGCATTTTGGGCAGACTTTCAAATATGTGTATTGTTAATTAAAGCAGTGACTGTTATCTTGATCTAATGATTAAAATGCTGAATTACAATTGGGGAGACCTGAGTTCTAGTCCTGCTTTAGGCCCAGAATAATTTTGAGTCAGTCACTTTCTCTTAATCACAGGAAAATGGCATGGATAAAACACTTTTTAAAAAAAACCTGCCTAGACAACTACATGAATTTGTCCATGACATTCCAGGAGTCAATACTTATTTGAATGGGGGTGGGGGAAAAGCAACATGTTAAAGCATAAGCCTTTTTAAAAACATTAAAATTAAGCAACATGGGAAAAAACATTATTGGATTTGTAGTTGCTAGTCAGAGCAGCACTGAAAATAAACTGATTATCTTTCAAATAAAAATATTCACTTGCATTATAGAACATTTTTCCCCCTTGACACTCAAAAATATTGGGCTAGTGCTGGTAATAACCTTTTAAACATGAGCTGGGGCAAATATATATTCTTATACATTGACATTAGTAGAAAATTAATGCAGAGGTAATTTAAACAGAAGCATGTTAAAATTTAGAAGTATACAGAGATTTTCACTGAAAGATTTTTATTTTTGTTCTGTTTTGCTATCTTGCTATCATTTAGGCTTGGGAGATTAGCTTCCAGAATAGCCAATAAAAATAACAAACTAACTTTTAAGCCAACACTTGCCTGGTGACTGCTAATCAGGGTTGCATGGAGAAGCACATGAACTCCCTGAGAATTCTCACCAAATTTTACAAGCTTAAACTGCCGGTAATGGCTTGATGGGTTGCAGCCATAAATTGTGCTGGCCTGGCCTTGAGACAGCACTAAAAGTAGCAGGAAGAGGGAGGTCCCGCAATCTCTTAAGGCTAAATCAGACAGAATTTTAACCCCCACCCACCCCCAGCCACTTGTAGACCACAAAGAGAATCACAACACTGGGCAGGGGGATGTTGTTTAGAGAGGCTGCTCCCCAAATTCTCTCCCACCTCCTTTTTTCTTTTCATAAGAAAGATTGTCTGATCCAAACTATCTTTAAAAAACAATTTAAGGTGCCCTTCCTCCCCCCCTTTTTTTGGGGACATTGTTAAAATCAGTCTGGGAAATAAAGGGGAGGGGAGGAAGATTCATCACATAGGGGAAGGGGAAAACATTTTGCAGTCACAAAATCAGAGAACTCTCTAGGGAATCTAAAAGACAGGATTATTATCTTCAGGCTATCGTGCAGAATAGGGAGTTGGAGGGATAGTTTTCACAAGGAAAGTCTTGACTGTTTTTTGAATTCTTAGTCTGAGCTACCTCCGTCATAAAGCTCTGGCCATTTCAGGAAATTCTGGTTGCAGGTGATGATGGGAGTTGTTCTCAAAAAAGGCACTAAATTGGGAAAGATTGTTCTGGGCAATATTGCAGCCCAGTGGTTTTTATAACCTCTTTTCTGTGGCATCAGTTAGATGATGTATACACAGCAATGCTTAAAAACCCAGCAGATCTTGGGAGGCAGGATCTCCAAAACTCCCTTTTCTCTTCCTTCCTGGGCAAATGGTTTGAGAGAGTCCCCTTGGTGCAATGAATACCCCAACCTGCATGCCTCTGTCTTAAATTTGGGCTAAACTCTGCTAGCAGATTAATAATATCGAGGTACTCTACCAAGAATTTTCTTACTGTTGAAAAGGGTTTGAAGCCACTCTGTCATATCCATGCTTTGGAAAACAAAATGAGTCATGTTTTCAGGACAGCTGGTTCTTCAAATATTATGAAAAATCAAGAGAAGACCAAAGGCATCCAAAGAGACACCAAGGAATGGAAAATATAAAATTCCAAAATGTCACTTCTGCCTCTAGTTTGCAGTTCTTCTATACAGACGATTTATTAGGGCAAAGCCTACTAAATAAATACCAAGTTGAAGTTTACATGTCTTCAATTAAATTCTGTAGTGAAAACTTGTGTTCATGCTAAGAGGAAAAGCACCCTTTACTATCTCATGGAGGCACTGGATTCAATCCTGGACAAATTACATCCTGACTGTTGCCAGCAATTGCCCCCCTACCTCCCAGTTACCCAATCTGTGGGAAATTACCATGCAAATATGTTACCTAACTGAATTACTTTTCCCACATTTTTAAAAAAACTGCTTCTCAGGACAAAAAACACATCCCTAGCTGGAAACTGGGTCTTCCAAGCAGAATCGACCCAAAACACTTTCCTGATGCTCCAGGACTGGTTCCTAAGCCCCTTACCATCAGCCCCCCCCCCACAAGAGCTGCGAGAGTGGCAGTGTGTTCTTTGCTCTCCAGGCACCAAGCTTTACCTGTAAAGGCAGTTTTCCAAAAGGGCCCTGGAGGGTTGGGCTCCTTGGGGCAACACACTTGGTTGTTCCAGCCCCCAGCCAAGGCCCAGGAGTCGTGGTAAGGATCGACGGGCAGGAGAGTTTCGTGCCTGGGGTCTCCCGGTGGTCCTCCGAGGGTCTGAACCACAGAAACGTCCAGGTAGCTGGTCATGGGCTGGTAAGGTCCAGCGTAGCCCGGGTAGAAAGCGAACTCAGCGGGGCGGGTCGTATAATCCTCTGGGGCGGGGGGCGCGTTGGCTGCAGCCCCGCAAACCTCCAAGTACTTCTCGGCTGTGTAGGCGGCCTGGGGCGGGGCCGGACACGGCTTAAGGGCGCTGCGGGCCACTCGGTACGAATAGCAGCCGCCGCCTAAACAGCCGTAAGGGAAGGGCGAAGTGCTGCTGGCTGAAGGCGTCTGTGAGACGGCCGGACATGGGATGTACTGTTTGGCCAAAGAAGGCTCCCCGGAGCCGAAGGGAGGCAGGGGCCCATCCAGGGGCGCGTAACCGGAGGGGCCGTGCGCTGGGGGACTGGATGCGCCGCCTGCCCCGGCGAGAGCTGCATTCCTGCAAGGGCCGCCGGCCGGGAAGGGAGGCAAGCTCAGCAACCCATCCAGGTTTTTACCGGGAGCCTCGTCCAGGCTCCTCCGGGCTCCTCCGAAGGCTGCCTCGGATTCCATCCAGAGTAAAGGGTGGCCGAAGGGCACATGGGCGGCTGCTGCTCGCCTCGCTCTGGCCGGGGAATGGAAGCGAGCGGGGCGCGAGGACTGGGAGGCGGGGAAGGCCGGAAGGACCGCTTTAAAAGGCTGGCTGCAACCGAAGGAGGGTCGCCTGGGCGCCCGACCGCAGCGCTTCTGCCCTCTCCCGCTCCCACCCGAAGCGAAGGACGTGGCTTCCCAGAACGGGTCGCTCATTGGCTGAGGCGCGTTGGCAGAGGACGTGCGGGGGGAGGGGGCAACAATTGCGAAAATGCTGTAGTGGCAAGGGGGGAGTAGAGCGGGAGGGGCAGCGCCCACACGTGACCGTCTTCTCTTTGGCAAAGGGGCGGCCTGTGGTAGTGGCGGCGCCTTCCCTTGTGGGGGTGGGAAGAATACCAAGTTCCCTCCCCCTCCAGAGAATGGGTACCATTCAAGGGGCAGAAGGAAAAACGGTGGCGAACCCCAAAGTTACCCGTCCAGCAAAGAAAGATTTGGGCATGCTACTTGGTACCCTTTATCTCTCTTCGGATCGTGAGACGTTTTCAGGGTTTCCATTATAGCATTCTGCCTTCCGTCTCAGTTGTTAATTCTTTGGCCAAGTAGTGAACAGTTCCCTGTACTTTTTGGATCCTGGCGACCCTGGGAATGTATCCCTCCCGGTGACAACTTTTCAAGAGGATAGGCAGAAAGACAAATCGATCGATCGATAGTTGATAGATCGTTTTCCTTTTTGCTCTTAATCGGGGAGGAAAGTCTGAGGAGTCAGACTTTCGCTTTGGCCGCCATGGAATGGGAAGGAGATAGGCGCCTGAGTTCCACCTCAAGAAATGCCTTTCAGAAGGCAACCGTTTGACACATTTACAACTTGTTTGTGAAGTAGGGAGTGCTGAATGAACACAACGAAAGATCCCTGGGGACCTTCTCCAGTTGTCAGAAGGGGAGAACGAGTAATTGGTTGCCCTGAAATTGAAAGGCGGACGGTTTTGGGGCAACCGACTGGCGGGGAGATGTTGGTGTAGGGCTAGCAATCGTATTTATTTAGCAGCTGAGACTTTTACGATTTCAAATAATGCCTTCATGTCCAAGGTCTTGGTCAGATTTGCCAATTTACTGAAATCTCTCAGACTGTCCTTGCAGACAGGTAATTAGTTGAAACAAGGACTACCTTTGGGTAGTAAAAAAGGAAGGGGGAGAGAGCAAAGTGAGGCCAAACAGGGTATTCTGCATTCACATCAGTCTGCTCCTCACACCTTGCAAATTCAGCTGGATTTCTAAAATTGTCTCTCCCTTTCTTATATTTCTTGGCTCACCAAAGTATCTGTCTGCATGGAGGACAGTTGGTCTTCTTGATTTCTATTAATCTCTCAAGAAACTAAAAACCACAGGGAACCAGAGGAGATCAGAGATCTCCTTATGTATCTGCATTGCCTTTGCCTCTTTTTTGGCTGCAGCTAATCACGCAAGGAGCAAAAACAGAAATATCCTTACAGATTTATTCCTCCTTTATACTCTTTATATCACTCACTCAGAAAGCAATAAAATATAATTGATGACTTTTGACCAGTCATCTCCTCTCAATGCAACCGTAGGTTTGTAGTTCTGGAGGTAGCATAGGGCACCTCCTTGAGTTCCTGGAAGAAAGGCTGGATAGAAATCTAATTTAAAAAATAAATTAAAAAACCCAGTTCCATCCCTCCCCACAACTAAAATCTCCTTCGTGTCTTTTACCTGTCCCCTTCCTCTTTACTATCCAAAGGTGCATCCTTGTTTCAACTAATTACTCTGCCATATTTTAGCATGAATAAGCTTTCTAATGAATGGCACAAGAAGTCAAAGAGGTGGGCCAAATCCAGGTAGTGATCCAAATTTATTCTCTGTGAGAAGATGGAGGAGTTGCTGAATAAATTAGGAGTTATTCGATTTCTATACAATATTGCTAGTATAGAGTAGCTTGTGGGCAGGAGATACATGCATGCATATACACACGCATATACACACACAAGGAGGAGGGGGAGGGAAAGAGAGTAAATTCACCAAAACAGATAGGTGCAAAAAGAGAAAGATAATACCCAACTATAACTCTCCTAATATACTTTCTCCTTGTACTTTCACTCTTGCCTGGTACTTTGCATGCTATTTACTTGCAAGCTTCTCTGTGAAAAGCTCCAGATGTAAATGAAGGGATTCAGCTGGCAGGGAATGATTTATTTCTCTGTTTATTACAAGATTTATGTCCTCTGCCTCCAAATCCATAAGATTTGTGATGATTCATAAATAGATCGAATATAACTCCCAACAATTCCTTTAAACCCATAACAGTTAAATCAACTGAAAGGTAAACATAAGGCTAACAAAAGTAATTGAAATTAAAACTAAAAATTACTTTAAAGTGATGGCAGTCCCGCAAATTCCAAATGCATGCTTGTGAAGTAAAGTCTTTTCTGCCTTTAAATTGCCAAGCAAAACTCAGCATGTTTTGATGATGAAACAGCAAATAGATGCTGGCTTCTAGGTTTCTAATTTTACAATTAATTTGGCATACAGAAGAGACAACATCCAACAGTGTCTATTGCCTGCTGCACTCTTCTGCCTTGAAAACTGGAGGTGGATGGTGAGAAAGCAGAGGAGGAAGATAAATCAATTTCAACTAACCCTTTAGGCTATAGTGCATAGTTACCTAGAAGTAAGCTTCATTAACGTCAATGGTGTGCTGTGACAAATATTTACTTGCTTGCCTTTACATTGTTTTTATTTTCCAAAGAGTCACATGGCCAATTTTTGAAATTGATGCCAATAAGTTATACTTACAAGCAAGTATGCCCAGGGTGGCTAGAGAGGATTTGATCCTGCACTAGATTGTCATCCTCTTCTTAGACAGATGGGCTAAGGGTGAATAAGATGCCTAACCAGATTGTTAAAGTCATGGTCTGCATTTTTATAGTATCTTATGTTTAGTTTTCCTTTCCTTTCCTTTCCTTTCCTTTCCTTTCCTTTCCTTTCCTTTCCTTTCCTTTCCTTTCCTTTCCTTTCCTTTCCTTTCCTCTCCTTTCCTCTTCTCTCCTCTCCCCTCCCCTCCCCTCCCTTCCTCCTCTCCTCTCCTCCTCTTCCCTCCCCCTTTTGTCCTGATCCAATGATTTTACTTATGATCCAGTGTCTTCTGTGAACCCAGAAAATGGGTTAATTTCATAACCAGGAGTGTCTTTTATGAAGTCAGCCTCAAAAACAGTAAACAGAAACAAACAATATGCATCTTTTATTTTTATTTTTTTCTTTTCATTTAGCTGAATTACATTATTTGTGTTTCTTATTTGGATATATACATATATAAGTACTTATCCTAGTCATTAGGATAGTTTTTCAGATTTCAAACAGATAACAAATTTTATTTACTCAGGGAGAATGTTTATTTATTTACCATTCATAGACAGTGTAAAATACAAGTATTTTAATAGCAATATTAAATATTGTATATTTAACCTACTTGTGCTATAGTAATAGCACAAGTACGTTGTGCTGCAGTGTGGCTGAAGACAGTGATGCATAAGATGTAACTATTTCATTTCATGTTGTAAGGAAATGGTGCCAAAAGATTACATTCCCTAGACATGTGTTCTGTTGCAAAATGTACAGAAGACAATGTGCTTGTTTTCCTTAGCTTGATGTCCCCTATTAATCAGTCAGTATTGGCTGGGTTTGTTCCTTAATGTTTCTGGAAGATGTCAGCTGAGGAAAGCTGTCAATGACCCACTAGAGTAATTCCCCAGCCCATGCCTTCCAGATGCGTTGGATTGCAACCATTCTGCATTCCTGGACAGCATTGCTCTTCTTTCTGGAAATTACTGCAGTGGGCACAAAGCGGCAAGGGATTTTCCAGATCCCACATGAAAGTTCCAGAGTTCTTCCCATGCAAAATGGGTGGTAATCTAAGCAAAATAGATGCACCACATTTGTATAACCAGAAGTTGATAACATTCTAATTTATACTGCTGCAATAAAAAAATCGTAAGTGGTTAAAAAAAACCAAACCCGTGCACATTTTTAAGCCAAAAGTCAGAGATTTAGATTTTTCTTTCTGCAGTCGAGGAAGATAACACATTAGTCTTGTCAGTATAAAAGCATTACTATGGTAGTAATCTCAGAGATCCATTACCTCCAACAGTAAAACTAATCAACAATATATCTTCTTGAAAACTGAAACTTTTGATTTTCAGATGTTATTTAGATAACATTCTTCCCATACAATATTCTTCCCTTTACATCCAAGTAAGCTCAATGGCTTGAGCTTATTTGGATGTAAAGTCAATAGAAATTAAAGCGTTTCCTCTTTTCATCTATCTGTCTCTTCCCCCTTCCTGTTTCATCTTTTCTTTTCTTTTTTTGTCAAGACCTTAAATAATTCCTTTCCAAGCCATGAGTGAGCTGACCAAGGTAACACAATGGACTATGCAGCTAATCAACTTTGGAACTGGCAGAGAATAAAATATTTAAAAGGAGGGGGAGGGGGAGGGGGAGGAGAGGGAGGAGGAGAAACTGTTTGAGATTCATTTTCTTCCTGGAAAGGAGGTGGTAGGAATCTTATATCAGACAGCTGGTGGAAGAAGGGATCAAGTCCTGTCTCTCCAAACCTCTACAGAATCTGATAAATCTATTTGAGGCAATATCTGTAGTTATGAGATAATACATCGGCTAGTCTCTGAGATGTTACAATTCCTTGTTGTTTTTTGTTAAAGGACATGGGTTGTACAAAGACATTCAAGTCTAAATATTAAACTCTCCAGCTATTTGGAAGTACAAAGTTAAAGCTCTAAAGGACCTTCCCCTCCCCCCCAAAAAAAGGGTGTGCATAAAATTGCATTGCCAATAAGCTTGCATTCCAATCCTATGTGAATCTACCCACCTGTAGAGTTAGATAGTAGGGTTATATATAGATTTCAATTATTGAATTTGCCTGAATTGAACAGTGCTGCTGAATCCACAACAAAAGCCTGTTTCTATCAGCTCTTTCACACAACCAAAATATAATCAAAATGAAGTTTCAGGCCACAAAATAATCGTGGATGGTCGATGCAATTCAGTCCTGCACCATAAACAGAGCTGTATTACAATATGGGAGCTTATATAAATCATTATAAAGCAAATAAATACCAAAC